GACACGGTCTTTAGACTCCACGGGTTACCCCGTGAACTCGTATCCGACCGTGACCCTCGGTTCACGGCGGAATTTTGGCAAACCGTGTTCCGTACTCTCGGAACACGATTGAAGATGTCCACTTCTGACCATCCAGAAACAGATGGTCAGACGGAACGTGCGAACCGTGTCCTCGAAGAGATTCTTCGAGGATATGTCCACTCGTTTCCGAGTTGGAGCGAATTCCTACCCATGGTGGAATTCGCCATCAATAATTCGGTGCATGCTTCAACACAGCACACACCGTTTTACGTGAATGGCCTACGCCATCCACGTGTGCCCACCCTTCTAGAGTGTGACTCTTGGATAAGGGGGGGAGGGACTCGCTCGAGCAAAAACCGTTTTGGCTCTTGCTCATCACGTGTCGACGCAAACGTCGTCACGTATGATGCCGATGTCGATCAAGTCGACATCGATGAAGAAGATCATCTCAATAATAGCGAAGACGCTATTATTGATTCGGATGATGATGACGATGCTGGTATATTCAGCATCGCCAACGATTATGCCAGCGAGGAAGAAGACAACCTCGCTGAAGAAGAGAGCAATCTCTTAGCAGTGCGCACGAAGCGCACTGCTAGACAAAACAAAGAGTCAGCAGAGAACTTCCTGCTGACTCGAGAAGCGGTAGTCCGTTTCGTTCAGGACTCCATCGCAAATGCGGTGGACCGTCAGAAACGGAACGCAGACAAGAATGGAAGAGCAAATGTTCTTTCATTTAAGGTTAATGACCTAGTACTACTGTCAACGGTAAACCTACCTGGACATGCAGTCACTAGTGTCGGCAGTAGTAAACTACTGCCGAAGTACATTGGGCCATTTCGAGTGTTGCATCGCAAGGGCAATGCATACACACTCGAATTGCCACGTAGGATGCGCACGCATCCTACGTTTTACGTGGGGAGGCTTAGGTCGTACTGTCAGTACGGGCCTTCTTCTTCCGATGAAGATAGCCCCCACGTTCAAGAACATCCATCAAGTTCTTGCGTTCGCGCTCCAGACGATCCGTCTGGTCGCGCAGATATGATACCTCGGTATTCAACCGAGTTATCTCTCCGCGAGCTGTCGCCAGCTCGCCGAAAAGGGAGCGGACATCCCGCTCGACCTGAAGCTGCGCCGTGGCATAATCGGCGCGATCCCTCGCCCGATCAGCCTCGTGATCCTTGCGGTTCTTCCGCACGGTGTCGGTCAAAGCGTAGCGTCGGTCGCGCTCGTGCTTCAAGTCATCGCGCAATTCATCGATTGCGCGATCCATCTCGTAAGGGTCGAGATGGTGGGCCTGGGGTTCTGGAGGAGGTCTTTCCTCCTCCACCACATCCTTTGGTGGATGCTCACGGTGATCAACGCTTTCTAGTGGAGCGTATCTTGAATCACCGTGACGATTCAGGATCAAGGACGAGCTACCTCGTCCAGTGGCGGGGGTATCCACCCTCTTGGAACAGCTGGGAGCCCCGCTCTCAGCTGTTAATGGATGTTGAAGGTCTCGTCCACCAGTATGACGAGACCCATCCGATGAGTCCTGTGGCCCATCGGTAAACACGCGCCCTAGGCGCTTGTAGACGGATTGCAAGTTTGCAATCGCGTCACGCATCTCCTCCGAGAGATGTGCCCTTCCCCAGGGCGAATTTAGGGAGTACACATCCCTATGTGCACGCTGCGAGTTGTCAACACAACTCGCACAAGGGTCTCCCCATGTGAGGCAAGGAATGCCTGCCTCACTCGATAAACAATGCAACCGGTACCTAGCACCGGTTGGCGTTCGCCGTTCGAACCTGAGGCGTGTTGCCTCAAGTTTCTTGAGCCACCCTTCTCGTCCAAAATTCTTTACGTTTTGGACGAACGCGTTCCACGCAGCCAAAAGCGATGTTTTGTCACGCTTTTGGTTGCTATTGTACCATCGATGTCTAAGGAAGACATCGAGATAAAAGTCTTCTTCAGCGCGAAAGTTCTTCGCGCTGGGACTCAAGCCGTGAAGCTCGGTTGCATCGAATAAGGGTATTCGATGGTGTTGGCCTGTCTCGTGAGACAGGCTATTGATGAGTTGTTCGGGCAAACGCCACGGCTTCAACTCATCACGCTTCACAGTGGTACCCTTGTCGGTACCACGGCTCCCAGATTGACGACGGCTCGCGCCATCGTCAACACGCTCGTGCGAAGACGCACGAGCCGGCGGTGGTGAAGAATAGAACTCACCACCCTGATCATCGTCATCACTGCCGAACAGACTGTGATGCGAATCACGAGTCCGTTCGTTCGGCAGTGGCCTTGGCGAATACTGAGGCGTCGCCGGTGAGCGAGACGCCTCTGGAGCATTGCCCGAGTCAGACACGTCTGACTCGCCAGAGTAGATGACCTCCACATCGGGGTCATCATACGCACGCGGCGTGATACCGCGTGCACCTGCAGCACCTGTTGCTGCAGGCGAAGAAGGGGCGGCAGACGACGAAGCGTCTGCCGCAGAGGCTTGCACAGCACCAGGCTGTGTGGGTCTTGAGTCACCTCGCATAGACATGTTAGCTATGCGAGGTCAAGCGGAAAGTGAGTGGAACGGACCAAACAAGTACTCCCTGTCCCAATGGTGGCCAACCGGTGGCCTCCATATTTCGATAGTCACACGGTGACTATCAGTTAAGGGGGGGTGATGTAACGGGGCAGCCCGTTACATAATATTGTCACTTAAGGAAAGTGACAATAAAGAATATAAAGATGGATATTCTTTAAACAATATCACCGAAGCGGTGATATTGAAGGGTCGACCAGAAGAGTCTGTTCATTGGTTGATATCGTGATGATATCAACCCACCAATCGCCGCAAGACGCGCGCAATGAGTGGTGACGAGACGTCACCATACATGCAGTTATATTAGTATAATTGAATTAAGTCAAACGAAGAGACAGTAGTTTAAAGACTTAATTTATTAATATAACAGTTCTACTTTTACCCTACCTACGCTTCCTCGCTCGCCACGTGTACGTCCGTCGGGGCACCCAAATCCCTTGCGTTAAGTTACGCAAGGGTGTGCCCCGTTACAGATGACCTCTGGTGTAGCACCTGTAGAGCTGTGCTCGCTGCACACGTCCAGTAACCAGTATGACTACTCGCATGGTGCTGCCCTTGCTGACAAACGGGTTTGACCCAAAGTCGGGGCGGCACTTGTTATGCTGAACATGCAACGAAAGCACACAAAGCATTGCGGGCACTAGTCGGCCCAAACGTTCCAACCTCAATCGAAGTTTGCTTTCGCGCACGGTGGCTGCCGTGTCACATGGCGTTGCACCACGATTACGAACACGGCAGCCGGAGCTTCGGGAACAAATGTGTTCGACAAGAAGTCCTTCGGCGTGTAAGACACCTCTTAGAAAGCCTTTTATAGCCATGACACTGCCGCTCGAATCATGGGGTGACAGCCAGACACGATCCAGCATCGACATAGCCGCGTGTGTAAGGACTGGACCCCGCAAAGACAGATGGATGCGGATGTTGTAGCCTATGAATATCGAGCGAAATCACAGCAGACATGTCAGTCTGACTAACTATGCGTTGATGAGGTGCACGAACAGCTTCCACCGCATCTTCCCGCTGGCTATCCGGCCGATCTGATTCTTGCTGACCTTCTCTGGATTTTCGTGGAAGCACCGGCCGCTCGGATGAAGTGGAGAGCCCGTTACATTGGCACCCGAACGAGCGTCAGCCATTCATGACCTGTGTTTTGTTCTCGGATGCTCAACGCGAGAGCATCGACTAGTGACCTCTCGAATGGACTTTTCGGACGCATTTCGAGGCTCAATTGCTCCGAGAAGATATCCTCATCCATTTAGTGATTCTACTCGAGAGAAGTCTGGTGCTATGTAAAACGATACGAGGCACTGCTCATTTACTAGCAGCTACGAGATCGATCACTAGTAAAGGCTCTACAATCTCCAGTCCTGTGTCGTGCCCCAGCGCCTTTTCGGTCTTCCAACTTGTCTTCATCAAACACGACGTGTGATCGTTCAAAAGTCATACCTGTCCGATCTACGAGCGCTAGCATCGCGACGGAAGCGGCTCGTGGATGAGGATGTAACACCACGAGTGTGTGCGATCCCATCAGATCAAAGTTCACGACCGCTGCACTGTCTTTGAGGCTGGTAGATCCGAGAAACAAGCACTGTTCGTTCTCTTCCGGCTGTTTCACGTGTCGGATGACAATGGTCGGGCGTTCACGTGAGCTAAGGAACTAACGTGCCCGACGAAAGAGTGTGCAGCATAGCGGTGGGGCGTAAGCTCGTCGGGAGTGATCTGCTGCAACATACCCGACACCACGCATGGGAGTTAAGATGCACAACGAATTAACCAAAGGTGCGTTTTCGCGCAGCTGGCACGTGACCTAAGCCACCTGCAACGATGTGCCGCCCTCAGCAGAATCAACGATGGCAAGGGCTGTGTTTGCTGAAGATAGTCATTGGGAGGGCATTCCGTAGTTCGATCGCATTAGCAACGTTTGAATGCGCGAGAAAAACTGGCGCGGCTCTCACCGATGCTGTTCAGAATGTGACAGATCAGTAAAATTTGCCTTCTGTGGCACAAATGGTGCTATGGTCGAGGTAGAGCGAGAGTCTAGGGGATCCTAGCTTCATTAGTGGGACTGACCGTACAGCGCAGAGAGACGGGACTGCAAATAGCCAGGCATCAATCGATACAAAAAGCAAGTGCTGTGGAATCCTGATGCCCTGAATCCTCCAGTTGCTGCGCTCTAGAAGCACGTATAGCCCGGATCTTCTCGCTTGACTACCTCGCCACCTCTCTGGTCGCCTCTCTGGTCCATCAAATCGACGCAAAGAATCCGCGCGAGCAGCAGAACTTCCGTGTCACATACTCTACCATAGTGGCTTCACGGTAAGGAGCTCTGTGGCAACCGCTCACAATTCCTTTTGCAGTCCAGTGCGCAGTACCCGTTCTCGTCCATCTCCACCACTGTCCCATGAAGCTCATCAAACTCATTGCACTCTCCGTGGGCGCGTCGCTGTTCGTCGCGGCGGATGTCGCTTGGGCCTCTGACGCGTCACCCGAGAAACTGGACTTTGAATCCATCAGGGGCACGGATAGTGGTCGTGGTCCGTCGCGTGGACCGGCGGAAGAGCGCATGAGGGGATTTACGGACGCGGTATATATCGGTAACAGATACGGTATTGAAAAGATAGTGCCGAAGATCGAGAGTGCTGACATGGGATTCGAAAAAGTGGCGGAGAAGTTGAGCAGCCATGTCGCTCTACCTACAGCGTCGTTTGAGCATCATCAGGGTGGAGACGCGATGGTAAAGCGATCAACGTCTATTAGACGACGACAGCCTCCTACTCGTTTGACCAATGGCAATATGAAAAGAACTGACGAGACGATCGCAGATGCTCCTACGAAGGCGGACGACCCCGAGACAGCAGCGGCCAACCTGCACGCTAGACGACCGGCAAAAGAGGAAGATGAAGGATTACTAGAGTCGTTTTTTGTGGAGGAAAAGGAAAAATGGGAGCGCCGCCTGCTCTCTAACAAGTAACAGCGAGTTGAATCGAGCGGAAGCCACTGCATCGGATCTGAAAGCGAACGACGCCTTAGTCTTTGTTGCGCACACGTACGCACTGCAGAAAAGCATCCAGCGGGACTAGCAGCACTGTGAAGAACAAGCGGTTGGCCCGCCTCTGAAGACGCTTTCGCAATAGCGTTAGATGAAGCACTTGCCTCTACATACCATGGAACGCTCGTACTAGTAATTTAGCTCGCGGTCGTTCTTGCTTTCTGCGTTTGTCTCTCTTAACTGATGAGTCGGCGGTGGTGTATGAATGATGTTGTGTAGCTCAACGCAGGCTCTGATAGTAAGAGAGTGGGAGGTAGCTGATGTCAACACGAGACCTTCATACGCACGGCACACGTTCAGTTCCTTTCGTGCTCGCTTGGTCCATCGAATCGGTAAACAGAAGTTCCGATTGCTCGCGCGAGTCGATCGAAACGGTGACATCAGTTAAGCGTAAACTACCTGTAAACTCATCGTCGCGAGCTCAGCGGCGTTGGCGGAAATTAGATGCCATGATGCACCCACACGTTCGTCTCGACATCAATGGCCAACTAGCTCTCTTCATCACACTAACGCCTTGCACTCTGCAGAAACGAAGACGCCGGTCGGGATGAAGTCTTCGCGTGTGAGTCATGCATGCATGCAAGAAGCCCAAAGTGTTTGGCACGAAGGAAAAAGGCAAAAACGTTACCGACATTGAGTGCAATGCCTGTCCTGTCATCGACTCGAACCTTGAGCTTACGAACGGGAAGAGGTTGCCATAGACCGCGAGACGTCCTACTTGAATCACTTTTTTCGCTTCAAACACAACATAACCAGCAGCAGGCAAAGCTCTAGTTGCTGTCGACAAGTGGGCATCGGGATGGAAAGCTCGAGAACGTACTGTTGGTGGTGCTTATGTTGGAGACGCTGTAGAATAGGAGAGAGAGAGAGAGACGACGACGACGGCGGCGGTGAAGAAGACGGTGCCCAGGACGACCAGTGTTGGTGACGTCGCTGTCTAATCAGGTAAGAATTGGTGACGGCACTAATAAAGCGTCGTCGATCGAAAACAAGCGTATCTATTACACGTAGACGCAGCATATTCTGAAAGCAGCAGATACGTGGATCGTCGAGGAATGAGGACTTGACAGGAGCTTCGATATATCACGAGAAACAGCTGCGGTCGCGCCAAGTCGTCGGCGTTCTCCAAAATAGGGAGCGACGACAAGAGACAGCTGTTCTTTGATGACACCGGCCGTGCTGCTACTGCTGGGCTTTGGGCTCTCGTTGGACAGCACGACGTGCGTGTGGGCTACCCGTGACTTGCATGCAATTTGTCAGCAAGCTGTTGCTTTGGACTGTCGGACTGCAGATTGAATTAAGCTGACACACGATCTGTAAGGACTAAGCTCGTTTCATAAAAATTGATACGAATGTACCAATTTTTGAAGGCCACGACTAGGTGCACCCTCCCCCCTTTTGCTAGGGGCACAGCCCATTTTTGCTACGGGTACACCCGCGCGCCTAAAATAAATAATGGACTTCACATTTTATAGTGCAGAATAGTTTGTGTGTACGGCACAGTACAATTGTATGTAGAAGCACTTAACTGAATTGCTGATTGTTTTTGGCCTAGGATCTGACGGTTAAGGACAAGAATTCCATCTACTGCAAAAGAGGAAGAACATGTCTTAAACACCTGTCTTGGTCGCGCAATTGCGCCTATGTCCCCTCATACTCATTCAAAACGACTGAAAACACCGGATAATACCACACACCAGTTGAACTCATAAAATGGCGTAAGAAAGCCTGTGAGAGGGACAACCGTCGATCGAATAGATGTAACCCCCACGCGCCGCTCTCAAAGGCTCCAGCTTTCTTTCCAGATACGAATTGGAAACAACTTCAAACGGTTTGCGGCTATTGAGGGTATGCCATCGTCATCGCTAGATCAAAGAAAACGAAGCGGGGTCTGAAACACATCTATTACAATTGCGATCATGGCGGTACCTATAGAATATTAATAACCTTAGTGAAGATGAAAGGAAGAGACGAAATTCCAGATCGTTATAAAATACTTCGTGCGCATTCAATTTTTTTCATCTTCTTACCCGAAATGATCTGCCCGAAGTGGGGCATTTTTTTGTATGTACCGGTACGTACCTCGTCACAGACCGTAGCCAATAAATTCTTTACGTACTGCAAGCCGTATGTGTTTTCCTGTGCCTTTCTCGATTATATACGTCGATAAATTCAAGTCGTTGCCACTGCCGATGACCAGGTCACTCGGCATCGTACCATCGATTTGGATACCTTGTTCGATACAGTATAGATTCCAGCAGTCATTGCTCGTTCGGATACCGCCCTGGTCACGATGGATTGATAGAATCTTGACTAAGAGTGGATCTGCCTTATAAGGCTGGGAGATAGGAAGCAGTAGTAAATGAATACGTGTTTTACGTATTATTCTGCACTATAAAATCTGAGGTCCTTTTTATCATTTTAGGCGGGAAGGCGTGCCCGTAGCACCAATGAGGTGTTTTCCTAGCAAAAGTGAGCGTGCCCCAAGTCGTCGTCATTTTGTAATATTATCTATTTAGATAATATTCAATCAACATCATTCTAGAAGAGGTGATGTTAACAGCATATTACCCCCCAATAATATTCTTAAGTGCTATACTTATTGGTTGATGTGAACGCGACATAAGCCAAATTAAACACTAATCGCATTCCGACACGCGCATGGGTGGTGAGCAAGAATCCCACATAGCAGATTGTAGTTTTAGAATAGTTAGATTGGGACAAAGATGGTTTACTTATAAAGAACATAAAAAAGCTCATTTATTTACGAATTTAAAACAGTGCCCCACGTCCTAGTATTATTTTTTAAAGGTGTAACATACAAAATCAAATTACCTTAATCATTCTTGTTGCCCCTTTCACGGCCGTGACCAACCCCCGCCCGGACCGGGAAGCCGCGGAGACGGTTCTGCCGCGGGCGTGCTGCGCTTGCAGACACCAGTTGTAGAACCCTCTTCGCGGCCCGGCCCCGAACAGGTAGAGGGTTGGTCACGGCCAGCCCCAGTCGGTCTGTGCTAATGTTGTTGATTCTGATGTTATTGCTTTTGTTATTGTTCTTTTAGTAGCTACTGTTGATATTGTTGCTGCTACTATTAATGCTACTGGTAATGCTACTTCTGTTGCTGCTGTTGCGTTTGTTGTTGTAGGTGTTATTGTTGATGTTGATGCTGCTACTGGTGATGATTCTACTCTTGCTGCTGCTGCTGTTGTTGTTATTGTAGGTACAGTGGTTGCAGTTAGTCTTGTTCGACTTGTTCGACTTTTATGATCGTATATTTCTCTCTGCTTTTAAATTTGGAAACTTTTAAACGCATTATCATATGAATAACCCCAAAAAATATTATACTTCTTATTATTTCTTTTTGACGACTTGAATGTCTGCATACTTCTTTGTATGTCGGCGTATCTCCAGGAGGAAATGTACGATGATTGCTAAATCGTATTTGTCAAAAAGTTTCGTCAGTGTATTGAACGACAACGTGTTTGCATAAATTTTTGTCATGATGGTGTATTTTGGCAGTAAATGCAAATTTGTAACATCAATATCGTTTCTCGAGATAAAAAAATTGAGGTGCCGTCTAAACTTGCTGCATGCTCGAATATTGTACAAGATAAATTGACTTTTTAAAGCAATACGAAAACCGGATATATTGAATTATACAGTGCTGATGAAGAAATGCCAGCGCTGATTTAGAAATTCAACGATGTCTATCTAAAACTTCTGTAAATTACACAAGGAGCACGTAAAGTGTTCAAAGAAGATGACAAGGCATGGAATACATTTGGTTTGGTTAATGTGCATAATCACTCCAGCATATTGGCATATTTATACGCCACGGTAAGATATTGCATTAATGAGTATGCAATCAAAGGAAATTGTTATATTTAAAGCAAAGAAATCCCTGTATGTGACGAAAAACTTCATTCCATATACTTTATGCAGATAAGACACTAAGTTAGTAAATAGCACTCAACTCGTCGTACAAGTTCTGCGGCTATGGTTAAATTGATTTCAAATGATATATTTTATGGTTTAACACTTGTCGATTTCCTCTGTCGCTTGTTGCGAAGGAATTCTATTCTACTTTAAACGCCCTCGTTTTTATAAATGGAGCGTCCACACACATCTTGTGTAAAAATCCCTAACTACGATCGGCCGTTTGTTCGTTTCGTCTTTCTCAGAATAAGCAACTATGAACGTCAATAATTTCCATGAGTCGTAAAAATTATAGAACATAAATTTTGTCTTACAGAGTGCCTATGTCCAAACAGCGTATGGACGCAAGGTAAGCCAACGCCTTTGATGCAAACACACGAGCATCTTATAACTTTATCGAAAATTTAAACTGAAAACGTTGCTATAAAATTTCCCACTCATCTTCAAATTGCGACGATATAGCATGATTGCGAGCTTCTATCAAAGTCGCATAGACAATCTGCAACCATCAATTTGTCCAATTTTCGAGACGCATCTGGAGTAGGCACTCCCACCGACTTACTTTCGGTGTATTTTCAGCCCACTTGCTTGCTATGTAGCGCTCAAAATCCAGGAAACTATCTATTATGGGAAGACTGCGAACTTCTTTCAACGCGCTATTAACTGATTCCACATTATTCGATGTCAAATTATTACACCTTGGACATCGCAAAATTGCTGTCGACCATTTTTCACGCCTGACATCCTGAAGCCACGAGAGCGCCGTTGCATCTTATAGAGCAATTTTAGCTGCCATCTTCTCGTATTCAAGTTTCGTTCGAGAGTGGGCCAGATTTCACGCCAGATTTCTGGCACTTTGGACCTCTACTTCTTGTAAATAATTACCATAGGTGCCTCAGGCGAAATAATTGTGGAATATCTGGTTCCGTTGTCCGCATAGCTTTCATAAGTCTCTTTCTCTATTGATACCACGCACGATGAAGAT